GAATCCAACTAATGTATATTCATCAGATCTTCTATAACACAGACCCATGTTAGTAGTACCTTTCAGATACCTTAGAATCCTCTTAACAACTGTTAAGTGAGATTCTCTAGGATCTGATTGGAATCTTGCACATAAGCATACACTAAATAGAATGTCAGGTCTAGAAGCAGTCAAGTAGAGAAGAGATCCTATCATGCCTCTGTAGAGTTTCTGATCTACTTTCTTACTTACCTCTTCCTTACCAAGAGTACTTGTTGGATGCATAGGAGTCTTTGCCACTTTACTATCAGTCATGTTAAACTTCTTCAGAAGCTCTTTAACATATTTGGTATGATGTATGTAAGTGCAATCTGGAGTCTGGTTGGCTTGAATTCCCAGAAAGAATCTCAATTCTCCCATCATGCTCATCTCAAATTCAGCCTGCATACATTGAGAAAAATCCTTTCCCAGCATAACATTTGTTGATCCAAAAATAATATCATCCACATAGATTTGACAAATCAAAAGATTTTTCTTAAATGTCTTACAGAAGAGAGTTGTGTCCACTTTTCCTCTGATAAAATTTTTCTCCAGAAGAAAATTGCTTAATCTCTCATACTAAGCTCTGGGAGCTTGTTTTAAACCATAAAGAGATTTCTTTAATTTAAAAATATGTTTTGGAAAATTTTCACTTTCAAAACTAGGAGGTTGGTGAACATAGACTTCTTCTTCTATAATACCATTTAGAAAAGCACTCTTAACATCCATCTGATACAGAGTGATGTTATGATATGCAGCAAAAGAAATGAGTAAACGAATAGACTCTAAACTTGCTACTGGAGCATAAGTCTATGTATAATCAATTCCTTCTTGCTGGCTGTAACCTTGAGCAACAAGCCTTGCTTTATTTCTTTCAACTTCTCCTTTTTTAATTCAACTTGTTTCTGAATACCCATTTGGTTCCAATAATGTTGAATCCTTTAGGTCTTGGAACCAAATCCCAGACATCATTTCTTGTGAACTGATTGAGCTCTTCTTGCATGGCAATTACCCAATCATTGTCTTGCAGAGCCTCATCCACAGATGTTGGTTCAATAATTGATACTAATCCAAATAATGATGCTTCAGATGATCTGAGAAAAGATCTAGTTCTGATTGGATCATTTTTCTTCCCAATGATCACATCCTCTGGATGAGATGCCTTGATTCTAGAAGATGATCCTTTGACATTTGAATTTTCAGAAATGTTCAAGTTGTCCATTTGTGAAGCTAAAGGAATTGCATATGGCGTTGCCTCTGGTTCCTTCATTTGAGCTTTTTCTGCCTCTGAGCCTTCGGAGTTTATGAAGATAATTTCTCTATCTGCAGAGTTTTCAAACTGCTTTGGCTTTTCAATGCCAAGCTTATCATCAAATCTAACATGTATAGATTCTTCCACAATCTGTGTTTCTGTATTGTATACTCTGTAGCCTTTAGAGCGTTCAGAATATCCAAGCATGAAACACTTCTGTGCTTTAGAATCAAACTTGCTAAGATTCTCTTTAGTGTTCAGCATATAACAAATACATCCAAAGGGATGAAAATAAGCAATGTTGGGTTTTCTGTTCCTCCACAATTCATAGGGAGTCTTTTCCAGAAGAGGTCTTACAGACACTCTGTTTTGAATGTAACATGCTGCGTTATTGCTTCTGCCCAAAAATGCTTTCCCAGATTAGTCTCGTTGATCATGGTTCTGGCCATTTCTTGCAGAGTCCTATTTTTCCTCTCTACAACTCCATTTTGTTGTGGAGTTCTAGTGCAGGAGAAATCATGAGCAATGCCATTTTCATTAAAATATTTTTCAAAATATTTGTTTTCAAATTCACCACCATGATCACTTCTGACTTTAATAATTTTGAAATCATTTTCATTCTGGACTTGTTTGTAGAAGTCAAAGAACACAGAATGTGACTCATCCTTGTGCTTTAAGAACTTTACCCATGTCCATCTGCTATAGTCATCAACAATGACTAATCCATACTTCTTGCCTCTGATGGATGCAGTTTTCACTGGTCCAAACAGATCAATATGAAGTAGTTCTAATGGTCTGGAGGTAGAGACAACATTTTTTGATTTAAAAGATGATTTTGAAAATTTCCCTTTTTGACATGCTTCACAAAGAGCATCTGAGGTGAACTTCAACTTAGGAAGTCCTCTGACAAGATTAAGTTTATTAATCTGAGATATACGTCTCATATTAATATGCCCCAATCTTCTGTGCCAGACCCATTGCTCTTCATTAACAGACAAGACGCATTTAACATTCTGAACCTTAAGTTCTGAAAGATTAATTTTATAAATGTTGTTCTTCCTCTTTCCACTAAATAGGATTGAGCCATCCTTCTGACTGTTAGCTTTACAACATTTTTTATTAAAGATAATATCATAACCATTGTCACTTAATTGACTTATGGACAATAGATTATGCTTTAATCCTTCTACCAGTAAGATATTAGTAATAGAGGGAAGGTTACCGTTTCCAATAGTGCTAGATCCAATGATCTTGCCCTTCTGATTCCCTCCAAACTTCACGTCTCCTCCAGATCTAAGTTCCAGACTTTGGAACATAGACCTTTCTCCCGTCATATGTCGCGAGCATCTAGAGTCCAGGTACCATGACTGGCGTCCTGACCTTGTTGCTAAGAACATCTGCAACAGGAATTATTTTACTCTTAGGTACCCAGATCTTCTTGGGTCCTATTGGGTTAGTTGCTCTGAAGGTTTGTCTAAACTTCTGTTTTTCAACATAAGGTTTATTCTGACTAGCCTTAGATCTAAACACATGGATGTTCTTTTCAGAACGAGTGTGTTTAATATCATTCAAATGACCAAATTTAAAATGAGAATATAAAGGGGTCTTCTTGATGATTAGCTTATCAACAGGATTTGGATTTAAATCCTTTCCAGATGAAATTTTATATCCAATACCTCTTCTGTTAGTTCTGCTAACTCCATAGATCATAGAAGCCATTTTGCTTTTGTCTATGCTTTTAGCAAGGAACTTCTGAAAGCTGTAGTCATATTTTTCCAAAATATTTTTGTCTTCAGACTCAATTTCAGAATCAGAGTTTTGTTGAGCTAATTCAAAATTATTTTTCATTTTTAAAACCTTTTCATTTAGCTCAGCTACCTCAGATTTGAGAATATTATTCTCAGATACAAGATTGCTTTGACGCTCCTTGTATTTGAGCTTAATATTGTTATAGCTCTTCAGAACTTCTGATAACACTTTGATAAAAGCAGGAAGTATAAGCATGCATCATAATGGGAAAGTAAAAAATACGATTAACAATTATAATAAAAACCTGTAATAATTCAATTGGCCTTTGGGAAATCCTCCACAATACCGGCAGGATTTAGTCTTGGTGCCAATAGATCGTACAGAAGAAATATGGAAAGGTACAAAAGGAATTTGCAGGAAAAGAAAAGGAAACAATAAAGAAAACTAAAACTTAAATTTGCTCTGAAGATAATTCGGCAGCACTTCGTGGTCTTGAATGCGGCTCCCCTTTTCTGGTCTCAGCCTCCTCCTTTTATAGATGGAATTCCAAACGATTAGTTTCTTCAGGAAGTGGGATTGAGGCCAGAGAAAGTAGGAGTTAGTGGTCCACTCCTTTTGATCTTTGAGGGCACTTACAGCACGTGACATTTAACTGCATATTTTGTCTGCATGACGGTCGTCAGGGAGTGTGACGGTCGTAATACGCATGACGGTCGCAAGAGTCATGTGACGACCGTCATATCAGCAAAATCCGTATCTGCTGTTTTTCATCTGTTTTCCATCTGTGAATGCTTGTTTTCTTCATCTTGCTCCATTTGAACATGAACTTTGAATACCTGCAAAATACTAGACAAATAACGTGGAAAAACCCGAAATTGGAGTGAAATCATTCATAGATTAGTTAAAACGTATGCCATTATATATATACGATTTCGCGTTATCACCGATCCGCGCACAACCCATAAGTTTGTACAACCCGCCTGCTCACATGCAAAATATATGTTTTGAAGATGATGATACAACCTCCGTGTTTGGAAGTGCTATTCAAAACCATATAGGTGACGAAATAGAGATCGGGATGGAGTTTGAAAACAAGGAAGCCTGCGTCCTTGCTCTGCAGCATTGGCACATAACACACAGTGTGGATTATTGGGTGTATCAGTCTGACAATGAACGATATGTCATTAAGTGTAAGAAACAAGACTGCAGATTCAAGTGCAGAGCTTCCTTTTAAAAAAGGAACTCGAAATGGGTGATCGGTAAACTGTCTGGGTCTCACACATGCACTACGACGTCTATGGCACAAGACCATAGAAAGCTCAGCTCAAAAATGGTTAGCCATAGCATCAGAGAACTTGTCAACATCGACGCCTCACTTAAGGTAAAGGTGATCATTGCCCATATTCTTGAAAAATACGGGTACATTATATCTTATAGGAAAGCATGGATCGCTAAGTGCATGGCGGTAGAGTCGCTTTATGGCAATTGGGAAACATCTTACAATGAACTACCGCAGTGGATACTGGTAATGAAAACCTTCCTTCCAGGAACTGTTATAGATTTGCAAACCCTATCTGTAATATCAAGTGATGGTTCCCAAATCTCTGGAAAACGAATACTCCATCGTCTGTTTTGGGCATTTCGTCCGTGTACACGTGGCTTCGCCTACTGTAAGCCCATTGTGCAAGTAGACGGAACATGGTTGTATGGCAAGTACAGAGGAACTCTATAGACGGCGATGTCACAAGATGGCAACGCAAATATTTTCCCAGTGGCATTCGCATTGGTCGAAGGAGAAACAAAGGAAGCATGGAGTTTTTTTCTAAGGAACCTGAGATTACACGTGACACCACAACCTAATTTATGTCTAATATCTGATAGACATGAATCGATAAAGAGTGCATACAACAATCCAGAAAACGGTTGGCAACATCCACCATCTTCACATGTTTACTGCATAAGACACATTGCTCAGAACTTCATGCGCGAGATTAAGGACAAGGTTCTACGCAAAATACTTGTTAACATGGGTAACTAAATAAATTCTGATTATCTAAAGTTTTGTAGCACACTTTTATTATTTTTTTCACACAATTTCTTATACAGGTTACGCATTGACGGAGGCTACATTTAATTACTATTGCGGAGAAATCAGAAGAACAAACACTGAGGCTTTAAATTGGATAGACAATATTCCTAGGGAGAAGTGGGCTAGAGCATTAGGCAGAGGGCAACGTTGGGGACATATGACTTCTAACTTAGCAGAAGCAATAAACTTTGTACTAAAGGCAACAAGAAACCTTCACATCACTGCATTAGTCCAGTCGGCATACTATCGAATGGGTTCACTCTTTGGTAAACGAGGACACAAATGGACCAAAATGCTATCTTCAGGCAAAGTTTTCATAAATGGTTGTAACAAGGGAATGGCTGAGGAGGTAGCCAAGGCTAACACACACAACGTCATGCAATTTGATCGCGAAAGATTCTGTTTCATGGTGTAGGAAAAGATTAATTACAACGATGGTCGTCCAACGAGTACTTTCAGCGTTGACTTGAGGAATCGTTTGTGTGACTGTGGAAAATTTCAAACATTTCACTTTCCTTGCTCCCACGTGATAACGACATGTTCTAGCATACGATAAGACTACGCAATTCACATTCCAGAGGTCTTCACAGTAATTAACGTATTCAAGGTCTACAAGGAAAGCTTCCTGGGACTACCCCACGAGGAGAACTGGCCAAAATATGAAGGTTTCACTCTGTGCCACGACAATTCAATGAGAAGAAATAAATAGGGGTGTCCAATAAGTAGTAGAATTAGAACTGAGATGGACGACGCAGAAAAAGAGAAGAGACTGTGTGGGATTTGCAGAGAAATAGGTCATATGCGTAGAAAATGTCTCAATGTTGCCGGTCCGTCAAACCGACCGAATAGATAATTATATTGTACTACTTTTGTATGTGATCCATCAATTATTTTTAATTCAAAACAACTTTCAAATTATAACAATACCAGCGAACTACAAACATTAAGTAGATATGTGACTCCACAAACTCAAAAATAAAACTCATGAAGCTAACATAAACTCTAACAAACAACAGCGACCAACACAAGTGGATCTGTGACTCCTCTGTTGACTTCACCACTGTGTGCTGAAAACATGCAATGGACATCTTAATCATTTTCTATATGATCTAGGTAGCACATGTACGTCCCCTCCGGGCTAGCATCAGTAAGCGTTATATATGGACAACGATACTCGATTTTTCTCACCGTCACGCGACGACCGCCCAGCTGCCGAAACCCAGTGATAATTGCTGCAACCACGGTTCTGAAATTCCACAGCGGATCTAGGTAAACACTGATTTTTTTCTCAAGTCCATAGAAAACATGAGCTTGCACAGACATCTTTATAAATCAGATAAGTTGACTCGAATGATATTTGCTGATGCGCAATACGCTTATTTATAAAAAAAAATTACGTCTGAGCTCGGCCATTCAGTGACCGAGAGTCTGTAAAAATAGTTTTTATATTAAATAGTTTTTATATAAAATTAACTAAATAGTTTTTATATTAAAAAGTTTTTATATAGAATTAATCAAATAGTTTTTATATAGAATTAATTAAATAGTTTTTCTATTAAATATTTTTTATATTAAATAGTTTTTATACAAAATTAACTAAATAGTTTTTCTATTTATCAAAATCTAAATAAATAAAAAAAACCGCAGCACTTGTTCGTCCATTGGGTTGACGAACTTGTACTGACTCAAATTTCTTTCAAACGTTCGCCCACTTTATGGACGAACTCATGCAATGTTTTTTCATTCATCACTCCTTCATCTACTGGTTGGACGAACACGTATAGAAACAGGACACCCTACTAAATATTTTTCAAGATAGAATATTATGGGATTTTTTTTTCAAACTAGGGTACAACAAAATCAATACTAGAATATTTCTATAACAATCAAATAATCTTGATTGGTTCATTCATGGGTAGAAGCTGGATGTTTTTAATGTAAATAGAGAATTTCACTCACTTTTCAAAAATACATCAAAACTTTGCAATTTTTCTCTTTTCTTTCTTTTTTGCTCTTTAGTTTTCAAAAATATTTTTTCTCTTTCAGTTGAGTTTTTCTAGTATTTCTATGTCGCCTTCGAAAATATTTTTCTTTGAAAAAATCTCTATGGATATGAATCGATTTCAAGGAAATTACTCTTATACAATAAACTATTACAAGTGATCTAATTTCATATTTACAAGTATATTATAGAAAGGCATCTACAATAAAATTTGAGGACTACCATGTGGTTGATTGTGTCAATAATCTCTTTGATGCCATAAACTTATAAAAAATACCAATAATCAACTAAAAAATACCAATAATCTCTTGCATGACATAAGTTACGGCAATTTGTCAACTTAACCGCAATTTAAATACAATTATATATATATTATAAAATAGTGGTTGGCAGCTGCATAGTTTATAGGACTCGTTAGAGTTTACTACTAGCTTATACTCCATCTTTCCCTAGCTAATATAAATTGTAATGAGAATATACTGTTTTGTCCGGTCAAATTCAGTTGATAGTTACATAATAAATTTTAAACGGTGTGTATTTCAACTTACTAATAAGAAAAGAATTTTGGAGTGTTGAAATTGCCAAACTAAGATTTATGAAAATAAATTGTCAAATAAAGATTTAAAGAAAATGACAGAAAATGATTTTAGATTGAGTTGAAGGCGGAAGCAATGAGGTAATTGATGACGAGGTAATAGGTGACGACGTATTGGCATGTGTGATGTTTTCGGACATGTGGTCATCATGATGATTGGTGCCATTGAGTTACACGGTAGAGAAGATATGTATCTAAAATAGGATAAATATTAAAAATTTTTTTAATAATTTCTCCATTTTAAAATGAATATTTTTTAAAATTTTTGCAAACCGATTAAAAATGCAATGATATTATTATAAAATATTACACTTTTATTAAATTAGTCTTATTAATTTGTTGAAAATAATGTACAGAGTAATAACTATATGACACAATTAAAAAAATTATTATTATTACTACATTGAAAAGTGAGAACGACAGTCATTTTGAAACAATTTTTTTTTTCTAAAACGACACTCATTTTAAAACAGGGAGAGTACATCATATGCTTTATTAATACATCTTTGAAAATACAATAATTTTCAACGATGATATATTTATGGATGCATTTAAATCAATATATTTCTGAATTAGATCCTAAATCAATAGTGAAAAAATTATGGAGATGTATCTCTGTATATTATGGAAATATATCTCAAAATAATGTTTGTTTAAAATCGGGTTACAATCCCTTCTACTTCATCAGTTCTAAAAAAAACATTTTCAAGATTTTTGTTATGGAGCAAAAAATACCCTAGCGTACGAATGCTCAAAATCAACAAAGTCGTCACATAAGTTTTATTTTTAAACGGAATACGTCAATAAAAGTCTTAAAGAAAAAATATATCGTCATCACAACTAAATTTAGGTTCGAAAATCGATTATGCGCGGGAAATTTATTAGCACCACACACATACGTTGTGTCCAACGAGAATTGTTTAGTTACTTTTGCGAATGTGAGTGTTAGCTTTAAAATTTTTATTTATTTCTTTTGATTATTACAACGTATTTACAAAAAGAAATAAAAGCGGAAAATTTAGCTTTTTTATTAGGGTGTTGTCGCAGCGCGAAAAATAGTCGAGCGCATCGTACGCTCGATGATACAACAGAATCACCACTGAACTTTATTTATTCCAGAAGAAAAGGGAAAATATCGATAAAACTCAAGAGAAAGAGAAACGGGTAAGAGAGTCGGTTATACGAGGGGAAGACATTAGCATCCCTCATATCTGTCGTACTTGACGGGAACTATTTTGATTGTCTGTTGCGTGGGTGAGTGTTATTATCTAAAGGTTACATGCGAAAGAGAAAAAAGTTTATAATTAATGTGTTTGCATAAGATGTCATTGTATCGCGGAGATTGGGCAGGCGAGTATTGACAGAGGACTCTTTCCATATGGCTCTGAGGCGAGGGACATTGTAGATGCCATGATGGTGGAGGCATGAGAGACAGTACAATACACGAGGTAGCGTAAGAATAAGAGGCCCCAAGGCCAAGTCCGTCATATGCAGTAGTTTATAGTATTTGTACAATGGATTTATTTTCAGTTGTATTTTATTTTAACTTACTTCAACTTGATTATGTACTACGAATTTATTACTCTATGCATGTCATTTTCCCCATCCTTTTTGTTTTTGACAAAGGGGGAGAAGAATTTGATGTGTTTGTATACTATGTTTTTGCTCTTCTAACAAATTTTGCAGATAATTTCAAGACTCTCTTAAATCATATATTATGGGGTAGCATCATCTAAAGGGGAGCACTTGAGCACTTGTTAGAAAATCCACAAAAATTTTCAAAGAAGATGTTGTAATCATCAAAAAGGAGGAGACTGTGAAGACATGGCTTCTTAAACAGTTTTAATGACGATACACTCTACAACATACAAGGATGGATAAAAGAATCTCAAAGAAATCAAGCTTGAAGAACTTCAATGTCAAATAAGTATGTCAAGACTTGGTAAAGAATGAAGACAAAGTTCTACACAAATGAAGGTACAACATTGAGCTTCTATATATCGTGTACAAGTGTTCAACTTCATCTCTGATTCTTGCATACCATATTAAAATTGTATTAAAACCATTACAGTCCATTTTTGCCTCTGCTTCAAAGTGTTTTTTACAAAATCTGTTCAGAGTATCCGCTTACATATTCCTGGTAATCAATTACCCTATGTAAACTTTCAAATTTTTTAAAATGTTGAGGCTTGTAACCGATTAACCACATATGTAACCGATTACCACTGGCGCAGTGAGTCAGAAAATTGCATCTGTTGGCAGAATGTTGTTTTCTCATTTCTTCTTGAACCATGACAACTCTTGGTCATTTGCACTCTTTTGAAAATGTGTTTAGAGACATTTATATACCTCATAATCTCAGACTTTGAGATTAACCTTCTTGCAAAAATTCAAATTTCATTTCATCTCTCAAATTCCAAATTTTCACAAGTTTCGAAAATTCTTCATTTTCAAGAGTGAAACTACTGTACTTCAATTTTCATTATTTCATCATAGTTTCATTCCTCTATCTTTGAACAGTTGTATTTGATATATAAGAGTTGATATCTCAATAAAAATATCATTCGCAAGATTGATTTTTAAAGACAGTTGCAACTTACTCAAATCAAAATTTATTTGCTCTTTGATTATATCTTATTCTTCCAAGATTGTTGGAAACAGGTTTGTAAGGTTGTAACCTTGTTGTCCAGGATTGTTGGAAGCAAGAGGTCCATTTTTAGAGGATTGTTCTCATTGGACTTAGTGAAAAATCCAAGAGGATTGTTCTTGGTATTTTGATTGGTTAGAGTCTGTATAAGAAAGACTAGGTAGAAGTCAT